AATCTCTTCGGTTTGATCATGTCATCATCTATTCGGTTTGGATTTTTTTTCAAATTCGATCCGATTCAATCCAAATTTTTCGGTTTGGATTAGATCGATTTTCGATTTTTTGAAAATCTTAAAATTTGTTTTATGGTTATTGTGCAAATAACATTTTTTTGTATAATAGGCTTTGTAAAAAAAAAATTAAACAGAAGTAAATGATAATATAGTTTTTTTTTTGTAATGAGATATGAAGCTTTACACAAATAAATTTTTGTTGATGAGATATGACTAGATTTTTTCTTGGTTTTAGTTGATGGGTTAATAGGTCTTGGGTTTAAAAAAATTTGGGCTATGATGGGAGGAAAGACCCAAGTAAGTAGAAGGGAATTAATATATTGGATCGGTTTTCATCAACCCATCCAAAAATCAATCCAATCCAATTAAAATTTGCGATTATTATTCGGTTCTCGGTTTTTCGGTTTTCGGTTTATTCGGTTATGGATTTTCCGGTTCGGTTACCGCGGTTTGAATCGGTTTGGATCGGTTGATAAACACCCTTACTAGAAAGAATATTATTTTGACATGATAATAGTTAAAAATTACCGAGACAAAAAACAAAAAGAAAAAAAGAGAGTAGGGGTAATAACATTGACTGATTATAAATATATCACTTCCCTTATGTATCCTTGGGGATGGAAATAGGTCAGCTTATTTATTGAGAGCTTTTGACCTCATGGCGTTAGACTTAACATAGCATGCTAACTAAATAAGTTAGGTCAAGACTTTTGTTATTTAGTTGATAAGGTCATATTTAAGAACGTGATATCATACCTTAAAACAATTTCTTGTGTAACATAAATTGGTCAAGACAGTCTGTTAAGGCAAGACCTGACCACACTTATTTTTACCTCTACTTGTCATAACACCCCAGTCAAGAACAATATTTTCTTGTTTGACTTTACAATTTATATATTAAAAAAGAAAAATGACTTTCCGTTTTAAGAAAGGGTAGTCAATCTTGAAAAATCAAACAAAATTTTAAAAAGAACAGTAATTTTAGTTAGAAAAAAATCATCTTGAAATATGTTTTAGCATAATGTTTTTACCCAAAATTGATTTTCAATTTTTTTTAAACCATATTATAATACTATCTATCATATTATTTTCTAAAAACAAACTGGGAATGCCTATGCTTATCTAATTGTTGAACCTTCTATTCACCCACAAACAAACAGCAATAAAATATGAGAAATACTTTTTTTATGTTGTAAAAAAACATTACTTCATATTGTATAAATAAAATTATAAGTGAGATTCACATATAAGAAGAGAGAAAAATAAGAGTGGTGAATCTAACTCTTTTTTATGTGTCTAAGAAAATTATTTATCTTATGTAAAATGAGATAAACATAAGCTATAAAATATTCAAAACTTATTATCGATTTGCTCTTTGATAGATGAACTTATCTCGTGCCACCTAACTCGAATACCAAGAAAGACTTTGTACCAATAAAACAACGAAACACTTGAGACCGTGCTTGAATGTTATTTTATTTGCGGAACTTCCTTGTGATTCACACAATGATGTTGATAGAAACAAGTTAAGTCAGCGTTGATCATAGGCTCAAATTAAGATCAGTTAATTAATGTAGTTCAAAATGGAAAACATAAAAAATAAAAATAAAAATAAAAATAAAAATTAAACAAATGAAAGGTCGAAAAAGAACAAAAGGTCAGGTAAAGATGTTCAAAAACTATTACACAAGTGATGCAAGTTAAGAGGAGCCCGCTTGCGAATATAACGATAATTATTTCGGACCTTGTAGAGGATTAAAATTTGGTTTTATAACTCAATACAAATCCTACATAGTGGCCTAGTAATCAGCAAAAGCAAGTTGAGTTGCACAGCTTAACCAGCTAAAAGTGCTAAGTGCTAACCATTCTAATACCTGAAAAGTCCATGATTTGTGACTTAGAACATGTGGTTTAATATTAAAATGGGAATAAAAAGGATATCTTTTGTTAATATAAACCCTAAATATTACATAAAAATGAAATATTCTGATTTTAAGTGTTAATGGGCTATTTTTGTATATTGCAGGCCCAACTACTCATGTTATCCAAGCAACGAAAAAAAGAATGAAAAAGACAAGAAACAAAGGCATCTTGGGCTGAGGCTTTACCTTACAAGTCAGTAAAGAAACAAAAGAAGAGAAACTAATAAAGGGAGAATGGGCCAGAAGAAACAAAGCTGATTAAAAGCCCAACTTGAAGAAAGAAGGAAGCAAAGTGAGAGAAGCCCAAGTCAGAAAAGAAAGAAAAGAAGAAAAAGGGAATAGGATGCAAGAATCGAGTCAGTAGCGTGGAAAGTGAACTAAGGAAAAAGAAAACCCTAGCACAGCAAAATCGCTCAAGCAAACCCGCCTCCATCTAGACCCTCATCTTAACCGCTCCTTCCAAATCCCTTCACCGATCTATATCGTCCTTCAAATTCGGTCGAAGACACAGAACCCTAACCCCATCACGGTTCTTTCCTTGAATCGAACCACCCACAACACAAACCCTACCCGATTTTTGTGCGACACAGAAAAATCCAAACAAGTTGATGAGCTGGAGGTTGTTAGTAGTGGTGGCTGGAGCTGCTTTTGTGGTGTTTTGCTAATCGTGCAAGGGACACCCACGATCGAGTGGAGCGAGGAGCGTACCTACAGTTGGAGGAGGTGATTTGGGATCAGCTATAAAGAAGGAGATAAAGGCATTTGTGGGACTCTCCTCTCTTCTCTTCTTCTTCGCTGAGTTTATTTTGCTCTTGGATATTTTTTTTATTTTACTGTTCTTTTATTTTTAGTAGTTTTATTTGTAATTTTTTGGTAAGCACTGCTTCAGGGCTATTTGCTGTTGATAGTTCCTGCATTTTAATTTTTGTTAGTTGTACGTTGTAGTTTGCTGTTTTATGAACCTTTGCTGTATGTTAGCTCATCAACCTGTGGTGATGAGCTAATTTTCTTAGAGTTGGGTTGAAAGAGTACCCGAAACTCGTTTGTTATTAGTGATGTTTTGAAGCTTAAAGTATTGATTCCAGTTTATTTACTGTGTGTTTTTATATGCTGAGTTTATTATGTGATGATCGCACATAGGCTACTCCTAGTGGTGTTAGATTATTGGGAAATAACTCACACTAGACCCCACTGTGAGCACATGGAAAGTTGAGAGAGATCTCTCTCAATGGGTATGGCTCCAGGGATGAAGTTACCCCCATGTAACTTGAGAAAATGGTACTTCAAGATCATATGATAACAGTGACATAGGGATATGTCATCTGTTGTTATTGGAAGAAAACTGTTGTTGGGAAACTATAGTTATTTTAGTATTTTCGTTGCAATAACTGTTTTTGTATTGTGTTAGTAAATACTTGTAGTCTCTTGAATATTGGTAGCTTAGAATTTTATTCAGTTCATATTCTGTTTTGTTGCATGTTTTATATAATTGCCCTGTCATCTAATTTTCTAGTCTATTGTTTCATAGCTGTACTTTAATTCTTAATTTTTTTAGTTTCCGTATTTTATTTTTATTACTAGTTTCATTCTGTTAGTTTGGATATATTGTTACTGCTTCATAAATCTGTTTGGTTGTGAACAGTTGTTGTTGCAATTTGGGACTTTTCTGTTTGGCAGGTTCTTGTTTGTTTATTTTTTTTAAACACAAAGCTGAATAGTAATCTAAGTTGTTTTAGCTAGTCAGGTTTGCCTGTTTTAGTTAAAAGGGTGCATGAGTGCAACTCAACACTAGGGGTGTCAATATGGGTTTTGACACGCGGGTCAACCCGCGACACGACACGAAAATTCGTGTTCGGGTTGACCCGTAAAAAAATTCGTGTCGTCTTCGTGTTGGAAAAAAATGACACGCAAAAAATTCGTGTCGTGTTCGTGTTTATGAATTCGTGTTCGTGTCGACCCGTATTATTTTTAATTATTATTTTTTTATTTTTTTATTATTATTTTTTAATTTTTTATTTATTTTCGATCTATTTTTTTAAATTTTTTGTCAATTACCGTTTTGTCCCCTATTTTGCGTGTTATTCGTGTCGTGTCGTGTCAACCCGCAAAAAATTCGTGTCGTGTCAGTGTTGAAGATTTTGACACGAATGAAAATTCGTGTCGTGTTCGTGTTGATGTATTCGTGTCGTGTCGAATTCGTGTCGTGTCAACCCATATTGACACCCCTACTCAACACCCATTCTTAGATTCTTTTGATCCAGAACATGAAAGGACATTTAGAGTTAGGAGACGAACCCAGAGAGCAAATAGGCAAATCCCAATTCCAGATTTTGAAGAGATGGAGAATGTAGGAAATGGAAATGGGAATGAAGAAGAACTTGCAAGGATAGAGAACCCACCAGTCATAGATGACAATGATAGGTCCATGATGGACTTAATCATACCTGTTTTGGATGAGTTAGATCCGAGTATAGCCCAGCCTGTTAATGGAGTGCCCTTTAAGTTAGAACCTGTCATGTTCACTATGCTCCAAAATATGGGGCAGTTCCATGGGTTGTTGATAAAAGACCCACACAAGCACCTTAGAAATTTCATAGAAGTGGACACCACTTTTAGGAATCCTAACATCTCGGATGATGTGCTAAGATTGAAGCTCTTCCCTCATTCACTGGCTGATAAAGCCAAAGAGTGGTTGAACTCCCTTCCATCCAACTCCATCACCAATTGGCACACATTGGCTGAAAAATTTATCATGAAATTTTTCCCATCCAACAAGATAGTGCAAACTAGATGTGATATCACCAACTTCATGCAGAAGGATGGTGAGACCTTAGTGGATGTGTGGGAAAGGTTTAAAATCCTTCTTAAGCAATGCCCAACCATGGTTTGCCACCTTGGGCAGTGCTACAAACCCTTTACAACAGCCTTAACACCCAAAACAGAGCCTTAGCAAATTCCGCTGCGAATGGCATGTTTATGTCCATGTCCTTTAACCAAGCCCATGAGTTGTTGGAACAAATGACTCAAAATTATGCCCAATGGCCTGAAGATAGAAATCAGTCAAGGAGAGTGGCTGATTTGCATGAGCTAGACCCTGTAACAGCCCTTTCAGCCAAGTTTGATGCACTAACTACTTTAGTGAAAAATCAGGTTCAAGCCATTGAGGCAAGATTGTCTCAACCTCAAGTTCCAATACCACAAGTCAATGCTGTGAACACAGATAAAACTTATGTTTTCTGTGGTGGGCCCCATATGTTTGATAGCTGCCCATCCAACCCTGAATCTGTGTTCTATGTGGGGAACCAAAATAATTTTTCCAACAACTTTAATCAAGGTTGGAGGCAGAATCAACAGCCTCAATATTTTCAAGGGCAAGGGCAACAAGCTGGCCCCTCCAATGCCCAAACCAAACCACTTTTTCCCTCTCAAAACTACCAACAATCTCCGAGGCAGCAACCTGTTGCTCAATCTAGTGAGATGCCTACCTCTTCAACTTTTTCCTTAGAAGCTTTGTTAAGGGAGTACTTGGTTAAGAATGAAACTAAGCAAAACAGCTTGGAAGCTGTTGTGCAAAGTATTCATGCATCTTTGAGGAATATAGAATCTCATCTAGGCCATGTAGCAAATACTATGAATAACAGACTCCCTGGTACCTTGCCTAGTAACACTGAAGAGCCTAGGAGAAATAATGAGCAATGTCATATGATAGAGCTCCGTAATGGCAGATCAGTGAATCAGCCAGAACCTGTGGTTAGACCTTCCACATTAAAAAAAAAAGAGAAGAGGAAAAAGTGCAGCAAGAAATAGTTGTAAATTCTGAAGCTGTTCAGCCACGTGTTGTCCAAGACAGCCCCCAAGAGGCTGCAAATAGTGATCCTCTGCCTGTTCTGGTTGAACCAGAAATTCAGACCCCAATAAACCCTTCTTTAGGGAATAGTTCCCTGGAAAAATCCAATCCAAAGGGTCAAGCATCTAAGTCAAATGTTGAGACACCAGTTGTCTCCAATAGACCCTCACCCCTTTTTCCCCAAAGATTGCAAAAATAGAAGCAAGATAATCAATTTAGGAAATTTCTAGACCTCCTAAAACAGTTGCATGTCAACATTCTATTTGTGGATGCATTAGAACAAATGCCCACTTATGTGAAATTCATGAAAGAAATTCTTTCAAGAAAAAGGAAGCTAGAAGAGTTTGAGACTGTTGCTCTTACACAAGAGAGCAGTCAATATTTGCTTAGTAAGATACCTCCTAAACTAGGAGACCCACAAAGTTTTACAATCTCATGTACCATAGGAGACCATTACATAGGCAGGACATTGTGTGATTTAGGTGCTAGTATCAATTTAATGCCTATGAGTGTGTACAAAAAACTGAAAGTAGGAGAGCCTAATCCTAACACTATCACTTTACAGTTGGCTGATAGGTCCCTAGTTTATCCTGAAGGGAAGTAGAGAATGTCCTGGTAAAGGTAGATAAATTTATTCTACCTGCTGACTTCATTATTTTGGACTATGAGGAAGACCGAGATGTGCTTATAATTTTAGGAAGGGATTTCTTAGCCACTGGTGGGGCTGTAATAGATGTAAAGGAGGGTGAGTTGGCCATGAATGTCAATGGCGAGCAAATAAAATTTAATATTTTGAAGGCCATGAAATACCCAAGAGACATAGAGGACTGTTCTAGGCTAGATATCATTGACTGTGTGGTAAAAGATAAATTTTTGCATGAGTCTGCACTAGACTTTTTACAAATTTCTGTTTTTGTTTTTTTTTTATAACACAAATTTCTGGTTTTGAGGGTCTAGAAATCAGTCAAACTGATTCAGAGGAAGTTGTTAAATGGTTAAATTCCAGATCTGATGTGGTTTGGAAAAATAAAAATTTTGAGTCCTTAGAATTGGCCAAGAGAGGGTTAAAAATTCCTAAACCCTCAATTGAAGAGCCCCTGTGTTAGAGCTCAAGCCTCTGCCTAATCACCTTAGGTATGCGTACTTAGGAGAAAAAGACACCTTACCTGTCATAGTGTCCAATCTGCTCATTGTGTTAGAGAAAGAACAGTTGCTGGCTGTTTTAAAAAAATTTAAGAGGGCTATAGGTTGGTCTTTGGCAGACATAAAAGGAATTAACCTCTCCTATTGCACGCATAAAATCCTTTTTACTGACCCAACCAGCAGCTCTAGGGAGCAACAAAGGAGACTTAATCCAATTATGAAGGAGGTAGTAAAAAAGAAAATTATTAAGTGGCTGGATGCTGGGATATTATATTCCGTTTCTGACAGTAACTGGGTCAGCCCAGTACAATGTGTCCCTAAAAAGGGTGGGATCACTATTGTGGAAAATGAGAAAAAAAAATTAATACCACTAGGACTGTCACTGGTTGGAGGATCAATTTTTATTTTTCCAAACTACATCAGTTTTGGAATTTAACCACTTAACTACTTCCTCAGAATCAGTTTGACTGATTTCTAGACCCTCAAAACCAGAATTTTGTAAAGAGTCTAATGAAGACTCATGCAAAAATTTATCTTTAACCACATAGTCAATGATATCCAGCCTAGAACACTCCTCTATATCCCTTGGATATTTCATGGCTTTCAAGATATTAAACTTGACTTGCTCTCCATTCACATTCATTGCTAACTCCCCCTCTTTTACATCTATGACAGCCCCACCAGTGGCTAAGAAAGCCCTTCCCAAAATAATTGGAACCTCTCGGTCTTCCTCATAGTCTAAGATTATAAAATCAGCTGGGAGAATAAACTTATCTACCTTCACCAAGACATTATCTACTTTCCCTTCAGGATAAACTAGGGACCTATCAGCCAACTACAAGGTGACAGTGGTAGGATTTGGCTCTCCTACCTTCAGCTTTTTGTACACACTCAGAGGCATTAAATTGATACTAGCACCTAAATCACACAAAGCTCTGCCTATGTAATGGTCTCCTATGGTACATGGGATTGTAAAATTTCTTGGGTCTCCTAGTTTAGGAGGTATCTTACTAAGCAGATATTGATTGCTCTCTTGTGTAAGAGCAACAGTCTCAAACTCTTCTAGCCTCCTTTTTCTTGAAAGAATTTCTTTCATGAATTTCACATAAGTGGGCATTTGTTCCAAAGCATCCACAAATGGAATGTTGACATGCAACTGTTTTAGGAGGTCTAAGAATTTCCTAAACTGATTATCTTGCTTTTGTTTTTGTAACCTTTGAGGAAAAGGTGGTGGGGTCTGTTTTTGACAACTGGTGTCTCAACATTTGACTTGGTTGCTTGACCCTTTGGCATGGACTTTTCCATGGAAATATTTCTTAAAGGCTCATCTATAGGGGTTTGATTGTCAGATTCAACCAGAATGGGCAAGGGGTCACTATGCGCAATAGAATTATGAACAGGTTCAGAATTTGCATCTTTTTCTTTCTGCATGTTCTCCTCTTCTCTTTTTTTTAATGTGGAAGGTCTAACCAAAGCTTCTGGCTGATTTACAGATCTGACATTTCTGAGCTCTATCATATTGCATTGCTCTTTATTTCTCCTAGGCTCTTCAGTTTTACTAGGCAGGGTACCAGGGGGTCTGGTATTCATAGTGTTTGCTAAATGGCCTAGTTGGGATTCTATATTCCTCAAAGATGCAGGAATACTTTGGACAATAGCTTCCAAACTGTTTTGCTTAGTCTTATTCTTAACCAAATATTCCCTTAACAAAGCTTCTAAGGAAGAAGGTGGAGCAATAAGCATCTCACTAGGTTGAACAACAGCTTGCTGCCTTGAAGTTTGTTGGTAGTTCTGGGTGGGAAAAGGCATTTTGGTTTGGGCATTGGAGGAGCCAGCTTGCTGCCCTTGCCCTTGGAAATATTGAGGCTGTTGGTTCTGCCTCCATCCTTGATTGAAATTAGTGGAAAAATTATTTTGGTTCCCCAAATAATACACAGATTTTAGGTTGGATGGGCAGCTTCCAAACAAATGGGGCCCACCACAGCAAACACAAGTTTCACCTGTGTTCACTGCATTGACTTGAGGTTGGGTCACTGGCACTTGAGGTGTAGGTATTGGAACTTGAGGCTGAGACAATTTTGCCTCAATGGCTTGTCCTTGGGATCTCACTAAAGTGGACAGTGCATCAAACTTGGCTGAAAGGGCTGTTACAGGATCTATTTCATGTAAACCAGCCACTCTCCTAGACTGATTTCTCTCTTCAGGCCTTTGGGCATAATTTTGAGTCATTTGTTCTAACAACTCATGGGCTTGGTTGAAGGACATGGTCATAAACATGCCATTAGCAGCAGAATTTGCTAAGGCTCTGTTTTGAGTATTCAGTCCATTGTACAGGGTCTGTAACACTGCCTAAGAGGGTAAACCATGGTTGGGGCATTTCTTAAGAAGGAGTTTGTACCTTTCCCACACATCCACTAAGGTCTCACCATCCTTCTGCATGAAGTTGGTGATATCACATCTAGTTTGCACTATCTTGTTGGATGGGAAAAATTTCATGATAAATTTTTCAGCAAGTGTGTGCCAATTAGTTATGGAGTTGGATGGAAGGGAGTTCAACCACTCTTTGGCTTTATCAGCCAGTGAGTGAGGGAAGAGCTTTAACCTCAGCACATCATCTGAGATGTTCGAATTCCTAAAAGTGTTTGCCACTTCTATAAAATTCCTAAGGTGTTTGTGTGGGTCTTCCATCAACAGACCATGGAATTGCCCCATGTTTTGGAGCATGGTGAACATCACCGGTTCTAACTTAAAGGGTACTCCATTCACAGGTTGGGCAATGCTTGGATCTAATTCATCAAACACAGGTATGATGAAGTCCATCATGGACCTATCATTGTCATCTATTACATGTGTGTTCTCTATCCTTGCAGGTCCTCCTACCCCATCATTCCCATTTCTATTTCCTACATTCTCCATTTCTTCAAAGTCTGGGATTGGGATTTGCCTTTGGGCTTTTCTCCTAACTCTAAAGGTTCTTTCAGGTTCTGGATCAAAAGAATCTAAGAACGGGTGTGGAGTTGCACTCATGCACCCTTTTCAACTAAAAAAAAAGAACCTAACTAGCTAAAACAACTTAGATTACTATTTAGTTTTGTGTAAAAAAAAATAAAAAAAAATAAACAAACAAGAACCTGCAAACAAAAAAGTCCCAAGACAGTTCACAATAATATTCTCAATCAAACAGACTTATAACACAGTACTAATAAATCCAAAATAATCGAATGAGACTAATAATAAAAAACTGAAACTACAAAATTACAAAACAAAATACTAGCTATGAAACAACAGAATAGAAAATTAAATGACATAAAATAAAACAGACTATGAAACAGACAAAATTTTTAAGCTACCAATATGCACGAACTATAGTAACACTACTGAAACAGAATTCAAATTAAGGTAAACTAACAACAGCAAAAATAAGAAGTTCAGAAATAGCAATCACACAAAGAAATCTGATCATGTACGCCTCGATCCCCGGCAACGGCGCCAAAAACTTGTTTCCTTGCTAACAGTTATGCAAGTAATGCGCGCAAGTATACGCGACAACAAGTAATATAGGGCTTTAGTGAGTCCCAATTATCGTTCCCACAAGGATCTTTGCGTTCTAACTTGAAATAAATTGGTAATTGCTATCAGAACTAAAAATAAAAAATAAAATTAATTGCTAGGACTATTTTAAACTAATGTACTGAAAGTGTTTTTGTGGAAAGTTTCTCTTTTAAAACAGTGAACTTAGTTGGTGAAAGGACCTTTTGAACTATAGCCTAGAAAAAAGAACTTAACTAAAAGACTTGTAAAATATTTTTTTTAATGATTTTCTTTTAAGTTTTGAAATAGACAAATAATTTCTGATTTGGATAAAAATAACAAGTGACAAAAATTGTTTTTAAAACAGAGTTTGGAAGTGAGTTTGGTGTCAATTTCCCCTTCCCTCATTTGTCATTATAGGATGCTTTAACAAAGAACAAAAATTGCTCCCAGCTTAACGAAAATATTAAGGTAATTATTGTTTCCCAACAACAGTTTTCTTCCACTGACAACAGTTGGCATATCCCTATGTCACTATTGTCATATGATCTTGAAGAACCATTTTCACAAGTTACATGGGGTAACTTCATCCATGAAGCTATACCCATTGAGAGAAATTTTTCTCTCAACTTTCCATGTGCTCACAGTGGGGTCTAGCGTGAGTTATTTCCCAATAATCTCACACCACTAAGAGCTGACTATGTGTGATCATCACATAACAAACTCAGCAATAAACATGCACAGTAAACAAGCTGAAAAACAACCATGTAAACATTAAAACATCATCTAATAACAGTGAGTTCCGGGTACTTTTTTCAACCCAACTCTCAGAAAAATTAGCTCATCACCACCGGTTGATGAGCTAAAATACAGCAAGAGAACATGATAAAAACAGAGACTTTAAAGTGTACGAAAAATAAAACTCAGGAGCTATCCACAGCCGATAGTCCTGAAGCAGTGCTCATCAAAGATTACAAACAGAAAATGCTAAGGAATGAAAATAGAAAACCTAAAAATATTCCCAAAGAGAAAAATAAAAATCAGCGAAGAGAAGAGAGGTAGGGAGATAATAGAATGTCCTACAAATGCCTTTTTCCCTTTCTTTATAGCTGACTCCTAAATCACCTCCTCAAAACGTACGCTCCTTGCTCCAATCGATCTTGGGTGTCCCTTGCAGGATTCAGCAACGCACCACAAAAGCAGCTCCAGCCACTAACGACCTCCAGCTCATCACTTGTTTGGATTTTTCTGTGTCATCAACCGAATCAGGTAGGGTTTGTGTGGGTTGGTTCGATTAAAAAACTGAACCGTGATGGAAGGCTAGGGTTCTTGTCTAGGATTAAAAACAGATGGTGTTTCGGTTTATTTGCTCGATTCCAAGAAGAAACTGTGATGGATGGTGAGGGCTTGAGGTGGATTTAGCCGATGGTGGGTCTGTGCTAGGGTTTTTTTTTCTTTTCTTTTTCTCACGATTGTGATCTGTCTCTTTTGTTTCCTTTCTTCTCTTTTTTTCTTCTTTTCTTCTTTTGGGCCGCTGATTTAATTGTCTCTGGCCCAATTCTCTTCTTTCCTTCTTTCTTCTTTTAACCGCTGATTTAATTTCTTTCTTTCCTCACTTTGTGCGTTTCGGGCTTCTGATCAGCAAAGGAATGGCCCAATTTTTCATCATTCTTTTTGCAAGGAGGAATAACACTATTTTGGGCCTGAAACATACAAAACCAGCCCATTAGTATTAAAATCAGAAAAATTCACTTCAATGCAATATTTGGGGTTTTTATTAACAAAAGATATTCTTTTTGCTACCATTTTAACATCAAATCACATGTTCAAAGTCACAAATCATGGACTTATCAGTAGACAACAAGAGATTGCTCTCAAACTGGCAAATACATTGGCGTTTGAGTTTCTGATGATAAGGATTTTGATAGCCAAAGTAATCGATGCATTTATCGATTAGTTGAGGAGAAATTTTATTTAGTTGTACATGTACATTGCCAAAATTGAGAATTTGTCATTTCCAATCTTTTATTTGCTCTCAATTGTGAATCGTATATTACATAATCATCTCCATCTCCAACAATTAATAGACAAACCACAACTAATAAAGATGACTCTAATTGGATGATAATGACGATGATGATAAATATCAAGAAATCAAAGATGTCATTCTATTGAGGATGCTAGTGTGTCGGGTAGTGGTGGAGATCATGATTTATGCGGTAATCCAATTCCACAAGAGATGGTACCCCGTGTTCATAGTCTCCCTTAAGTTTATGAACATGAAATGGAAAATTAGTTGAAGAAATAACATATTTATGGATGTTTTCTAATCTATTTTATTTTTATAGCTGATATGAATATGTTTATGTGTAGATAATATTGTTACTCCATTTGGATAGGTAGTCCACATTACAAGGAAATCAATTAGAACTATGATGAGAGGTGATATTGAGGGGCAGTTGGAGGGTTAATCGCAAATAAGAGATGAATTATTTGTTAAAGATGAATTTGAGTTCAAGAAAGTTATGATGCTGACAATCAAGCGTTATTGCGTAAAGGTCCATCAAGAAGCGATAGTTGTTGAGAGTATGACTACCAAGTTGGTAATGAAATGTCGTAACCATAAAGATGGTTTCTCGTGGCGGGTTGGGGCAATGAAACCGAAGAGTGAAGAATATGGGTAATCTATAAATGTGGTGGAAATTATAATTGTCTAAACGGGCAGCTTTCCCAAGACTATATACAATTTGATTATTATGTTATTGCTTCACTCATACTAGGTATATAATTGTGGTTATTATTACATTTATATTAATTTAATAGATCCTATTATAGATACAATGTATGTTTTGATGATAACAAAGTGACAACAACAAAAAGAGAAGAGTATTGATCAAAAGTAAAAAACATCAACCATATATGGATATTGAAGATGTATGATGTAGCCACACAAGAAGAGTAATGACATATCAAAGTGGCAAGATCATTTGATTAAGAGCAACAAGGAATAATTAGAAGAACAACACCAAGATCAAAGAATAAAAACCATGAACAACATCTAAAAGAAGCTCAATATCACAACCATGGTGGAAAATGATCAAAACCAACAAAATATCGAGTATTGTCTTATCTAAAAAGTCAAGGCATCAAGTTCAAGTAAAGAACCAAGATCCAAGAATCAGGACATGAAGCTAAGAGTAACAGCTCGTTGTACACCGGTATTGTTAATATTGATTATGATATTAAGCGTAGTTACAATCACAGCAATTCATTTATAAAAATGCGAGTGAACTTTTTTCTTTTTTATTACACGAGCATTTAAAACAATAATAAAGCGTAATAAACAAAAGTTCTGACCGTAACTGAAAAATCATTACGGAATAATAATATAAATTACCTAAATATCATAAAATATTTCTCTCAAGTCACTAAGGGGTTCCCATAAACCCACTTAGCCTAAATCTCACTTTTACGTTTACTACCTATCCGAACATGGTTTGGTATTCTGGACATTGCCAGAAATCCGAATGCCGCGAACCTATCATCTTTTAGTATGTTATTCTCGACTTAATTATCTTCCTAACAAGCTATCACACGATTCATAAAGTTCTCATTTTCTCCGATTATCACCGTTTGAAGTTGGACGAGCAAATCTGTCAGCCAACCTCAAACAGAGCTCCAAACAGCTTTCACTCTCTCAACGATTCTGGAATATTCACTCCACCAATTGCTCTTAAATAATTATATAGTAAACTAGACACCTCAAGCTTAAATTTTACATATCATGCACCTAATTTTACCAAGAAACGAAGTGGGAATAATTTCCCCAAAAATGCATAGTGACAACCCCATGTGCAGGGGCGTTTTGAGCAGTCTGTGCGCTCTGGCTTCTACAGGGATACGTACTACTCCTATAGATCTCAAATTATGATACTAGGTAGTTGACATCTCAAGCTTTAAAATGTTGTATGGAACGTCCCTGTTAGGCCTTTTTGGAGGGAGATATGCTCTCCCAAAATTCACTCAAAATCTGCCAATTTATAGAAATTTCGCTAGAGTCTCCTTTGTTTTTTCAACATATCTCACTTTTAAAAGTGTGTTATCTAACCTCAAATGGTACCTAATAAACATGGGTGACACTCAAGGACCAGCAATGCATTGGTGCTCTTACAACCCTTAACAATTTATATCAATTAGTTTACTTTACAATTTTATAATAGTATATCAAATCTTAAACTATTTCAATCACATTAATTCCTTTGCATGCATTCCTTTGACATAAAACATAAATCAAATCCTAGAATAGGCCTATTGCTCATTCATCATGTACACGGTACATCCTATGTACCACAAAACAAACAATAATGCATGAGCATGTTATACTACATTACCAATATACACCTCCAACCACTACCCTCAACGGGCATGGTAGAACACACACGGGGATCAAACCCCAGTACCAAGGGATTACTTGATTAATCTCTTTCTTAACAGCT